TCGGTGATATATATGGGTGATATTGGAGGGCATTCGGGAGATCCCGAGGCCAAACTTCTGACTGAGAAAACAAAAAAATAATAACTAGACGCTCTTAGAGCGTGAAGTCGGGCTAGCTATTTTGGAAAATTGAGGCATAACTTGGGTGTGCGGATACGCGAAGAGCGAAAGATTAGAGTATATAGAGTACCTTCGCCTTGTGCGACTACAATTTTTAGACTGTGGATCAGCAAACATTACCAAATAAACGACAAAATTATACACATTTTATTGATATAAAACATTTAACTGATAAATTGATTCACTACCTGATTTTTATCAAACAGAACCCCAGAATTGTATACGAGGCTCCAGGAAAATGGATAAAAGAATTCATCAGGATTATCAATTATTTCCCTGGAGCCTCGTCTGCAATTCTTTTGTGTATGGTTACCCTTTTCTTTGTATTAACGTCGATATTGCAATAGCAGCTCTATTCAAAATCCACTAGTTTTCTTTCAGAATTCTCATCATTAGGATGACCTTTTCTCAAATTATGTGCTAAGCGGAGTGACCTTTTTCTAATCAAGAGTACTGAGAATCTAAATATATTTTGTGTTATGTGTCAATCTGTTTGATTTGTGTAATGTATATTGTAAAAGGAATGGTTCATATGCAGCGAGCTTCCATCGAGCTATATAGCAACTTGCCGTTATTCTACTCGGAAAAATGCGTTCTCTTTGAAATCGGAGGCTTGATACGATTGTGACGTTACTAAGGAATCTCGCCTCTAACATTTTCGGTGGCTTTCAAAGTAAATGGCGGAGATTCGTTCCTTTTATAAACGCCTTTGAATTGTAAGCTAACTTTCAACAATTCTTAGTCAATACGCTGGTTCCTTAGTAGACGTCATACTAGGCTCGACTCAGGCTCCTATGATAGTTCCTATTATAGAAATTATCATAATTCCATAATTTTAAAGCTTCACAGAAAACAACAGTTTTTAACCAATTTCCATTAATTCACTCTATTTTTATTTTTTATTTTTTACAAATAATAAGGATTAATAATTGTTTGTCTATAGCATACCTCTCATCCTCATCAAGTGAAGGACATGAAGCATCTCCTCTGTGSTCTTGGATATCAATCTCTTTGGTGCCATTTCACGGAAATCGATAGCTGAGGCTGTCTCTAAAAGTATTGTGAAAGTGTTATTTAAGAAATATAAAACGGCGCGCGTGTCTCTGTCCTCTSATATAAACACGGTGGGAGTTAGAAAAACACGAGAGAAGCAAGCTTAGGAAYACGAGCGTAGCGAGTGTTTCTCTTGCTTCTCGAGTGTTTTTCAACTCCCACCGTGTTTATATCAGAGGAAAGAGACACAAGCGGCCGTTTTATATTTCTTTTATAAAATTTTTCGAGCGAAAAGAAAATTTTGCCGGTACTTAGCGTACTTAGTCGACTTATTTGTATTTCCAGATGTCGTTTTGTCAACTTGTTTTTTATTCTCATCATCAGAGCTCTTTAAAAAGCGGTTTTAATCACTTTCCATAGCTTTTTTTTGTCAAAAACAAATCTGAAAACTTACGCGGACAAATATCACCTTCGGACGGGGGATATCGCTTGATACCCGTTCGCCGAAAATGTGCCACGTGACGCCTTTGGACCAATGGATGCGCGTGAAAATATATTGTTGGGATATAAGCTATAATATATACTTTTACCAGTGCCGCGATCGATTTGATAGATTTTGCGTATGAT